ATCGTATGAGACATGCAGATATCGCAAGCGCCGCTCGAACGAGAAAGTTAGCGCCCGCTCGCCGCGCGCGCGTCCTCGAATTGCCGGACTATTTAATTAATTCCCAGGCGAGTTTTAAAAACGCCATTCTGAAATTTTCATATTTTTTAGTAAATTTTCCGAGGAATCCGATAGATTTGTAAAAAATAAATTAACTCCGGGTGCCACGGTCAAAATTAACTTTTAAGATTTAATTTGCAGAAAAAAGTATTTTTTTTTAAAGTTGAGGTTAGGAACATAATTTCATCAAAAAGCTGATGTAATAGCGTTTGAAATGAAAAAAAAAATTGTTGTACTATAAAAAACGATGTAGATAAGACGACTTGAAAATTACCATAAAATGCAAAACTCAAAATTTAAAATCGCTATTTCTTCGAAAATAAATTTAAAAAAAATCCCGATACACGTGTTTGCTTATTTTATACCTACAATTGGTAAAAAAAAGTTTGAAGCGATTTAAAAATGTCGAAAAAAATGTGTTCGGTTTGTAAAAGAATGCCTCATATAAGCGGATGATCGAATAAATTATTAAAATCGAAAAATTTTGTGAGACCATTCTTAGGCTTATTCGACGCGTTTTTGCATGAAACGAAAGAATCTGGCAAAAAAAAACGTCGTTCTGCCTTGTGATCTGAGTTATTAAGCGTTAAAGTAGATGACTATTGAGGTAAGAAAATCTGTCACATAGGCAAAATGAGGTCTATAATTGTACTGTTCCACATGGGTTTCGACTTTTCACGCGATGCAAAGGGGCGCACGACTTCTATAATTGTACTGTTGCAAAATCGAAACCCTTGTGCATTTTTTCAGACAGAATAAGCTAAAATGAGCCAGAAATTAGATTCGACGCATGTTGGTTCTATCATGTTTCGGCGTAACAACAAAATAGCGTAAAAAGTATAAAGTGATTAGACAGAAAATAATATTCAAGTGAAACGATATAATTGGTCAGCTAAGCGTAACTTGCGCTGACCAATCATATCGTTTCACTTGAATATCATTTTCTGTCTAGTCACTTTATGCTTTTTACGCTATTTTGTTGTTACGCCGAACCACCATGTGTCGAATCGGGGTGATCCCGTTTGACCACGGCTCGATTAGACACCACCAATCACAGCGACCGGTGCTTAGGAGCTTTGTAGTCTCAAGCGCTGTGAGTGGCTCGTGTCCAATTGAGCCGTGTCCAACTGAGTGCCACCCGTCGAATCTAACTTCTGGCTTGTTTTAGCTTATTCTGTCTGAAAAAGTACACATGGGTTTCGATTATGCAACAGTACAATTATAAAAGTCATGCGCCTCTTTGCATCACGTAGAAAGTCGAAACCAGTCGAAACTCATGTGGGACAGTACAATTATAGACCTCATTTTGCCTCTGTGACAGATTTCCTAACCTCAATAGTTATCAACTTTAACGCTTAATATATCAGATCACAAGGCAGAACGACGCTTTTTTTGCCAGATTCTTTCATTTCATGCAAAAATGCGTCAGATAAACCTAAGAGTGGTTTCACAAAACTTTCCGATTTTAATAATGGTAATTATTCAGAATACCTCCCTCACCTCCGATTTCGATAAAATTAGGCTCATTCGACGCGTTTTTGCATGAAACGAAAGAATCTGGCAGAAAAAAGTGTCGCTCTGCCTCGCGAACCGAGATATTTAGCGTTAAAGTTGACGACTATGGAGGTTAGGAAATCTGTCATACCGACTATGGCCGTGGTCCGAATCATGCTGACAACGCTCATGAGCATTGTTTGTCTTCGTTTAACATTTGACAAACAACAAGGATGAAATGATTTTTAAGCGTTGTGAGCGTGTATCGGACCGCGGCCTATGTGTAATAAATTAAACGTATGTAGTAGTGCCTAGACAGTGTCCGCTTGGAATAACTTTGTAACCCATGTAGACAGTGGGATGTATAGACAGTAATGCTTGGGTTCGGGACGGCGTAGCCGCCCCGAACAAAATATAAATATCATATCCTACCCGCTTGGGGCCTAACCGCCTAGAAGTTACAGCATAGACAGTGTCCGTTTGGAATATTTCTAACCCATGAAGACAGTGGGGT